CCCAAAACACTAGGGATTTGGGTACGGGGGTACCCAAAACTCAGGGATACCCAAATCACTGTGACACCGCAACAGCAGAGTGCACGATGACCGAGACTGGTACAGACTGGATACAAATCTAGTCTCAGAGGATCACATGACACTGGGGGCGACCAATGCAGGACACCCGAGCTCCTGTTTATATACCACGCAGCGCCCTTACGTGTAGTTTAATCCGTGGTTGAAATCCACGGGCGAGATAATCAGAACTTAGCTTAGGATAATTTAAGAGCCGGGCCTGTTACAAACCTTTACTCACATTGATTTGGCTCTCTAACGCTCATTTCCTCTTGGTTTACATTTGAGTCTCTGAGGATGGTTGGAATTTGACATATTTAGGGAGAAGGAGGTAGATACCCAGCTGATAATGAGGGAGGTGGAACATTGTGTGTATTTTTTGCCGTGCAAAGGACATTTTGCGATCCTATATCATAAATAGCAAGTCTCTCAGGCGTATGCGTCTGGAATATCGACACAGTGCTAAACAGCGGAAGAAGCTATTTCTTTACGTCCTTAGTTTCGAGCCCAGTAACCTCCTAACAGATTACTCCGGAAAACTAAAATATAATCCTTTTAATTTGTTTAGGTTACTACTTTAATTCCTTAAGCCGGTTTTTATCGTGTTTATAATTTTAAACGCATCTATTACTTAGTAAAATCCTACAACCTTGACCATAAAGACCTTAGCTCTTTTTAATTACTTCATACAGCAATACAGTTGTTATGCAACGCATATCTACTGAGTTATATGCATGTATAATCTGTATCTTTATATAGCTCTCTGTCAATTTTCTACATCTATATCTGTTGATGTATACATACGCACTTTGTATCTAGTTTATTTATACACTCTAAATCAAACGAAACTTGTTAAGGCCTTATCTTTATGGTTAATGTGTCCAGTAATCTCGTTCCCAGATCTCTTCGGCTTCGCCCACAAGAGATCTGGGAACGAGATTATCTGTCCAGTCAAAAAGAAATGTAGGTATGCATACCTATCTACTTCGACAATCACTATGCCTCTCAGTGATAAAAAATAGGTTTTAAAAACTGATAGACTATCACTTATTTTAAACTCATTACATATAGATGGGATTTATGCTGACGTCATTGTCTGCATTTTTGCTCATTTTCATAAGGCTTTGCGTACAGAAGGAAACATGTTAAATATGAATTGACTCCAGGCAGCTAAAGAGCTAGTGAAATTTAATACGCGGTGAAATTTTAGCTCTTTGGGTGTAATATTCAAGGAGACATTGTCTTTCAAAAATTTATGGGTGGCGAAAGCGCTAATGAGCTCATACATTCTTTGTAAAATTTTCAGTTTTTAAACCCGTGTCGAACAAAAAGTATTCAATACGTCAGGCTCATATTCATTGGCAGATTTAATCGTACTATGACCTCTTAATATTCAGAACTGATTTATTTGTAGCTCCATCAGAAACGGAATTGCTAATTTATGCTAATGAGGCGAATACTATAAACAAG